CAAAATTAAAATACTATTATAATAGCTCCAAAAACTATACAAATGTAGGGATAAGTATAAGTATAGATGTATAAGGTCTGAAGACTAAAAACTATAATACTTAGCTAAGAGAAATTAAAGAACTAAAAAAAGATACCACATTCATTGATTGAAAGACTCAACATTGGGAGCGGCTGGCTGGCTCAGTCGGTGGAGTGTGTGACTGTTGATCTCGGGGTTGTGAGTTCAAGCCCCATGTTGGGCATGGAGCCTACTTAAAATATAAATAAATAAACAAACATAAAGAAAAGACTCAACATTGTCATTAGGAAGAATGAAATCTTACCATTTGCAACAACATGGATGGAGCTAGAGTTAAGCAAAATAAGTCGGTCAGAGGGGCACCTGGGTGGCTCAGTCATTAAGTGTCTGCCTTCGGCTCAGGTCATGGTCCCAGGGTCCTGGGATGGAGCCCCTCATCGGGCTCCCTGCTCCGCAGGAAGCCTGCTTCTCCCTCTCCCACTCCCCCTGCTTGTGTTCCCTCTCTCGCTGTGACTCTATCCGTCAAATAAATAAATAAATAAAATCTTTAAAAAAAAAATAAGTCTGCCAGAGAAAGAAAAATACCACATGATTTCACTCATATGTGGAATTTAAGAAACAAAACAAAGGAGCAAAGGAATAAAAAGAGGAAGACAAACCAACAAACAGACTCTTAACTGTTGAGAACTGATAGTTACCAGTGGGGAGGTGGGTAGGGGGATGGGTTAAATAGGTGGTGGGGATTACGGACTGCACTTGTCGTGATGACCCTTGGTTGATGTATGAAAGTGTTGAATCACTATATTGTACACTAATATTACACTGTACGTTAACTAACTGGAAGCAAAATAAAAAACTTTTTAAAAAAGAAAAAAAAAGATTCAATATTGTCAAGATATCAGGTCTCTCTAAACTGGTAAGCAAGCCAAATCAAAATCCCAACTAGCTGGGGCACCTGGCGGACTCAGTCAGAAGAGTGTGTGACTCTTGATTTCAGTATCATGAATTCTAGCCCCATGTTGGGTGTAGAAGTTACTTAAATAATTTTTTTTAAGCCCAACTATCTCTTTTAGCAGTTGACAAGCTGATACTAATACATATGTGGAAATATAAAAAGAACAATAATAGCACAACAATTCTGAAAAGGAATAAAACTGGACATCTTATGCCAAGACTTTCTGTGGAAGGAAGAAATGTAATGGATGGTGTGGTATTTGCATAGGGATAGGTAGGTGGAAAAAATAAACAATAGAGATGCCAGAGGTAAACCCACACATATATGATTGATTGACTTTTTTTAAAGATTTTATTTATTTATTTGAATCAGAGACACAGCAAGAGAGGGAACACAAGCAGGGGGTGGTGGGAGAGGGAGAAGCAGGCTTCCCATGGGGCAGGGAGCCCAATGCGGGGCTCGATCCCAGGACCCTGGGATCATGACCTGAGCTGAAGGCAGACACTTAACAACTGAGCCACCCAGGCGCCCCTGACTTTTAACAATGAGACAAAAGTACTTCCTTGAGGAAAAGATGATCTTTTCAACAAATGTTCCTGGAACAACTAGATATCTATTTGGAAAAAAAATGAACTTTGACCTTTACCTCACACCCTCACCATACACGGTAATTCACATGAAATGATCATAGACCTAATAGCAAAAGTCAAAACCATAAGACATCTTAAAAAAAACAATTTAAAGATCTTCACAACTTTGGATTAGACAAAGATTTCTTAGCAAGGTACAAAAAGCACAAACAACAACAAAAAGATTTATTGGACTTCATAAAATTAAAAATTTTTCTCTTCAAAAGACAGCATTAAGTAATGGAAAAAACAAGCCAAGACTGAGAAGTGTGTGTGTGTATGTGTCCCTCCGATAAAGGATTATTTGTAGAATAAATAAGGACTTTTACAAATAATACTAAAACCCTCCCACATGAGCAAAACAATTTGAACAGACATTTCTTAAAGAAAACATTAATAATAATGAACACATGAAAAAATGCTCAACATCTATAATCATTAGATAAATGAAATTTAAAAAGATCAATAAAATGGATGAGTTTTCAAAAACATATTGCACAAAAGAGTGCAGACATGGCACAGCATATACTTTATGGTTTCATTTCTGTGAATTCTACAATAAGCAAGTCTATTACCTAGAGAAAGAAAGCTGGTTGCTGTTTACTTCCATCAGGTTGACTGAAAAGCTCACCATGGAATTTTTAGGAGCGACGGCAATGTTTTATGTATTGTTTGTAGCGATGGTTGTTAAATGAGTTGTACGTTTGCCAAAGCTAATCACACTGCACACCTAAAGGGGATATATGTTATGCCTCAGTGCACACACATATATACTAGTTAGGCTCCATCCACGTCCATTCCACTGGGGATGAAATCATCTTCAACTACATGTCTGATTTACTCCCATAGGAATGATACAATACTGAGGACTCAGTGTTGGTCTCCACTGCTGAAGCAATGGACATTGAGAAGAGTCTGTAGTTAGGTCACTCCCGATGAAAGGCAGTTCATGTTACAAGACTCCTGAGCACCCTCCTTCTCTGCCATCATGGCTTCTTCCTCCATAGGCCCACTGCGTAAACACTGGGATAAGGAAGAACAGAGGCTGGCTAACATCTACCCAATGAGCCACCCAGTCCCCTTGGTCATTAAGGACTATGTCTACAGGGAACTCTCTTGCAGACTTTTTTTTTTTAAAGGTTTTTATTTATTTATTTGAGAGAGAGAGAGAGAACAAGCAGGGGAAGCAGAAGAAGGAGAGGGAGAAGCAGGCTCCCCACTGAGCAGGAAGCCCGATGCAGGACTCAATCCCAGGACCCGAGATCATGACCTGAGCTGAAGGCAGATGCCTAACCGACTGAGCCACCCAGGCACACATCTTGGGGACATGTCTATCTGATTCAAAGATCCAAGTGCTTTGTACTCCACTCCTATACATCTATGCCTACACATGCCTCTGTCCTGGACAGCCCTGTCTCCTCCCACTTGATTCTGCTCCTTCGGGTTCCCTGATCATTTAGGCGAGGCAGAAGCTACTATCCAGGAGTTTGTGTACATCCTCACACCTAGTTGAATCTGTTTCCACAAAAAGTGTATTATCCTGTTCATTACCAAAATATCTGCTCACTGGTATTTTTCAGAGTCCCGCTGGTGTGGTGGTGGGACAACACTACTCCAAAACATCACCCTGCCCAGACACGACCCAGGCCACAAAGCTGTTGATGACCACCGAAGAGAGGCATCATTGTGACAGGGTAGGTATGTAGGTGTCTGCATGTAACCCCCATCTTTGTCCTCTGAACCTACCACTTACTCAACAGTGGATTGCAAACTTATGACTGAGTGGAAAGGACCATACCCAGCTCATCGTGGATAGTTCCTGTTGCATACATGCTCATGTCTCTTGTCATTAGGTTTCTGTTGGGACCAGTGGCACGTAGGCAGCTTTTTAAATGGTACCTAGCTCTCTTGCACAGGTGATGTGATGACATGAGCCCAAAGCCCATCGAGGCTCAGCAGAGGGGTCACACAGCATCCCAGCACACATGCCTACTCTTAGCAGCATGATTTGGTAGGTCATGGCCATAGTCGTAGCATCTGGATGGATAGAAAAAAGTTGTGCTTGGGGTGCCTGGATGGCTCAGTCAGTTAAGCAGCTAACTCTTGATTTCAGCTCAGGTCATGATCTCAGGGTTGTGAGATCAAGTGCCACGTCAGGCTCTGTACTTAGTGTGGAGTCTGTTTAGGACTCTCTCTCCCTCTCCCTCTGAACTTCCCCTCACTATCTCTCTCTCAAAAAAACAAAACAAAACAAAAAAGTTATGCTTACATGATATTGTAGTCTATTAAGTGTGCAATACCATTATATCTAAAAAGACAATGTACACACCTTAATTTAAAAAATACTTTATTGCTAACAAATGCTAATCATCATCTGAGCTTTCAGCAAGTCATAATCTTTCTGCTTCTGGAGGGTCTTGCCTCCATGTTGGTGGCTGCTGAGTGGTCAGGGTGGTGGGTGCTGAAGATACAGGGACTGGGGACTGGGGCAACTTCTTAAAATAAGACAACGGTGAAGTTTGCCGCATCGATTGACTCTTCCTGTCACAACTTCTCTGTGGCAGGTGACGCTGTGTGATAGCATTTTACCTAGAGTAAACTGCTTTCTGTAACTGCTTCCAAAATTGGAGTCTCAAACCTTGCCACTGCTTTACCAAGTTTATGTGATATTCTAAATCCTCTGTTGTCATTTCAACAATCTGCACAGCATCTTCACCAGGAGTAGACTGCAACTCAGGAAACCACTCTCTTTGCTCCTTCAGAAGTAGCTCCTCTTCTGTTCAAGTTTGATCATGAGCCTGCAGCAATTCAGTCCCTTCTTCAGGCTCCACATCTAATCCAGGTTCTCTTGCTATTTCCACCATATCTGTAGTGACTTCCGCCCCTGAAGTCCTGAACCCCTCAAAGTCATCCATGAGGGTTGGAATCCACTTCTTCCAAACGCCTGTTAATGTGGATATTTTGAGCTCTTCCCATGATTTACAAATGTTCTTTTTTTTTTTAAAGTAGGCCCCACAGGCATAGAGCCCAAAGCAGAGCTTGAACTCACCACCCTGACATCCAGACCTGAGCTGAGATCAAGAGTGCTTAACCGACTGAGCCACCCAGGCGCCCCAAATCACAAGTGCTCTTAATGGCATCTAGAATGCTGAATCTCTTCCAGAAGGTTTTCAGTTGACTTTGCCCAGATCCATCAGAGGAATCACTGCCTAAGGCAGCTACAGCCTTACAAAATGTATTTTGTTATGCTAAGACTTGGAAGTTGAAATGACTCCCTGATCCATGGGCTGCAGGATGGGTGTTGTGTTACAGGTCCGAACACATTAATCTCGTTGAACATCCCCATCAGAGCTCCTGGGTGACCAGGTGCATTGTCAGTGAGCAGTAGTATTTTGAAAGGATTTTTTTTTTTTTTTCTGAGCAGTAGGTCTCAAGAGTGGCTCAAAATATTCAGTAACCATGTTGTAAAGCAATGTGCTGTCATCCAGGCTTTGCTGTTGCATTTATGGAGCCCAGGCAGAGGAGATTTAGCGTCATTCTCAAGGGCCCTAGGATTCTCAGAATGGTCACTGAGCACGGGCTCCAGCTTGAAGCCAACAGCTGCCTTAGCCCCTAACAGGAGTCAGCCTGTCCTCTGAGGCTTTGAAGCCAGGCATTGACTTCTCTCTACTGATGAGAGTCCTACATGGCATCCTCTGCCAGTGGGAGGCTGTTTTGTCTGCACTGGAAATCTGTGTTTAGTGTAGCCACCTTCACGGATTACCTTAGCTAGCTCTGGGTAACTTGCGGCAGCTTCTATATCAGCTTTGGCTGCTTCACCTTGCACTCTCATGGAGATGGCTTCTTTCCTTCCACCTCCTGAACCACCTCGGCTAGCTTCAAACTGGTCTGCAGCCTCCACGCCTCTCTCGGCCTTCACAGAATTGAAGGGAGTCAGGGCCTTGCTCTGGATGAGCTCTTTCAATATCCTTCACAAACTTCTCCTTCGCATTTATAGCTGGGCTCTTTGGCACGACAGACCTAGCCTTGGGCCTGTGTTGGCCTTCGACATGCCTTCCTCCCTAAGCTTAGTCACTTCTAGCTCTTGATTTAGAGGGAGAGACATGCAACTCTTCCTTTCACTTGGACACTTGCAGGCCACTGGAGCGGCATTAACTGGCCTCATCGCAATACCGCTGTGTCTCAGGGAACAGGGAGGCCTGCGGAGAGGGAGAGAGATGGGGAATGGTCGGTATGTGTGAGAACACACACATTTCTTGATTAAGTTTGCCATCTTATGTGGGTGTGGTTTGTGGTGCCCCCAAACAATGACGATAGTCACATCAAAGATCACTGATCACAGATTACCATCACAAATGTAATAATGATGATAAAGCTTGAAATGTTGGGGTAATTACCCAAATGTGACCCAGAGACATGAAGTGAGCCAAAGTTGTTTGAAAACCAGCACTGATAGAGTTGCTGGATGCAAGGTTGTCACAAAACTTCTATCTGTAGAAAACCCATAGTATCTGCAGAGCACCCTAAAGTGAGCTGTGCCTGTATTTTCTCCAGCCCCTTCCTGTCTGGAGAAACGCCATTCACACCAACAGCTTCACTTATCAGTGTTAGATAATGTTTAATGAACACTTTGAATGTGCTAGGCTAAGAATTCTGTGTGTATGAACTTACCTAGTTCTCAAAACGTGCCCCAGGAGTCCTCTCAGGGAAGCTGCCCTCCCTCACGACAGCACCACTGTAGATACCCAGAGAGCACTAACACTATGATCAGTCCTGTTTTGCAGAGGCAGATACTGAGGCCCCAAAAAGTGGCTACAGAGCTTGCCTGAGATTACACAATGTGGAAATAAGTGAGAACAGCCATGACGGGGCTCCTGGGTGACTCAGCTGGTTAAGCGGCCGACTCTTGATTTCCGCTCAGGTCATGATCTCAGTATCATGGGACAGAGCCCCACATGGGGTTCCATGCTCAGTGTGGAGTCTGTCCTCTTCCTCCTCCAACTTGTGCTCTCTCTGTCTCTCTTTCTAAAATAAATAAATAGAAATAAATCTTAAAAAGAGAGAGAGAGAGAGAGAGAGAACAGACGAGACTATTGTGGCAGAAACTCAAAGGCAGATGGAGGTGGGGGAAAGCCTACAGTAGAAAACACGGAAGGCTGCACTCGAGCCTTGACAAGAGCCTGTGCCCAGGGAAGCTGGAGACAGGCTCACTAGAAGTCCTTGTCCTATGCTATCAGTTAGGGGAGCATACTTGGCCTTCTCTTGTTGGTCTTAAATTAGAGCTAGGGACAAAAATTAGGGAAGTCGCCAGTTTTTAGTCAAATCCTGGCCATTTTGGACCAACTGTTACAGGGGTATTGTGTGGCTTCCTGTCCTGCTGGCCTCCGGGCATGTTGCTGCCGGCTGTGGGTCAGAATTCTATCTTCGTATATGTTCTGGCCATCGTCCGTTTGCCTATGCAGTCTCTCGACAAAGGAGCCCAGGCCAAGGCAGGAGCTGGGACTGCCTGGCCCCACAGCCGCCCTCTTCAGCACTGCTTTCCACTCCTTCTACCCTGTGCTCTCAGCCGGCAGCGTCCCCTCCTCAGAGAGGCAGCTCCACTCTAGCCAGACGCCTGGGTTGAAACCTGCAGCCGCTTGCTCACCAAGATCCCTTGGACAAGTTTCTCCACCATTCTCTGCCTCAGCGTCCTCATCTGTGGAATGGGGTTGTTGGCGGCGCCCACCTCATAGGGTTACAGTGAGGACTGATCGCACACGAAGGACGCACTCACTGTTTGCTAGCATCATCCTTGTTACTCTCACCATGCACTGTGAGGTCTTTCAAGCTACCCAGTTCATTTTTGTTTTCTTGTTTATAGATGAGCTCCCAGACAAAAAAGTTAGAGGGCAGGGACCTCATCTTTCCTATTTATCTGCATCTTAGTAGAGGCTCAACTATAGTTGATAGTCTAAATTTTTAAATATATGAATACCTATATGCATCATCTACAGATTGAAGTTTCTCACAAACCTCTCCTCCAGTTCATTAATTGGCTAGAGCGGCTCACAGAACTCAGAGGAATATTTTACTTACCAGATCACTGGTCTATTATGGAAGAATGTAACTCAGGAGCAGCAGATGGAAGAGATGCCTAGGGCCAGACGTGGGGAGAGGACACAGAGCTTCCATGTCCTCTCCAAGTGGGCCATTCTCCCCCCATCTCCACATGTTCATCCACCCAGAATCTCTCAAATCCCATCCTTTGGGGTTTATATGGTGGCTTCATTACATTTAATTCATCCACAATTAATTAAATCATTAGCAATTCATGAGTGACCCAACCTTCAGCCCCTCTCCCCTCCCTGGAGGTCATCTCATTAATATAAACCCAGGTTTTGTTGAAAGGGCTTTGTTAGGAATATCCAGACACCTTTATTACTCCTAGAAAATTGCAAGGGTTTTAGGAGGTCTGTGCCAGGAAGGGATGAAGACCAAATGCATATTTCTCATTGTAAATCACATTAGTGATAAATGGTATGGCAAATAAATCAAAAGGGAAGGGGCATCCAGGAGGGGTGTTAAATTTTAAGGTAGGGTTACCATGGAAGGCCTGAGGAGGTGACGTTGCAGGAAAGATCAGTGGGCAGTGGGGGACAAGACCATGTAGCCATGGGGGGAAGAGCATTCCAGGTAGAGTAATAGGGGCAGCATAAGCACGGATGAGAGGCACAGACGGGGACGAGGAACATACAACATGGGGCCTTTGCTTTTATTTTAAGATGGGAAACTATTGGAGAGTCCTACAGAGGAGGGACACGGTCTGACCCACCTTTTAACCCAATAATGCCAGCCATTCTGTTGAAAACAGAAGATAGGGGGCAAGGATGGGATCCAAGGAGATGAGTCGGGAAGCTACTGCAATCATCCGCATGTGTAATGTCGTTGCTTTTGCCCACATGTTGGCCGTGAAGGTGGAGTGAAGCGGGCAAATATGGGTCTACAGTGTTTGGAAGGTAGAGCCCATGGGTTGTTTTGTTTTGTTTTGTTTAGACCAATTTTAAGTTCACAGCAAAATCGAGAGGAAGGCACAGAAATTTCCTGTGTGCCCCTGCCCCCATTCATGCACGGTCTCCCCACTATCAACACCCCCCACCAGAGGGTGTATTTGTCACCACAGATGAGCCTACATCAACACGTCATTAGCAGAGTCCATAGTTTGTGTAGGGGTCACTCATGGTGATGTGCATGCTGTGGGTTTGGACAGATGTATAGTGACACGTACCCACCATTATGGTCTCACACAGAGTAGTTTCACTGGCCCCACACACCCTCTGTGCTCCTCCTGTTCATCGTACCTCCCCAACTCTTAGCAATCATTCATCGTTTTACTGTCTCCAGTTTTGCCTTTTCCAGAATGTCATACAGTTGGAATCATACAGTATGCAGCCTTTTCAGATTGGCTGCTTTCACTTAGTAATGTCCGTTTAAGGTTCCTCCGTGTCTTTTCATGCCTTGATATTTTGGCTCTCTTTAGCACTGAAAAATATTCCATTGTCTGGATGGGCCTGTTTGTTTATTCATCCAACTACGATGGACATCTTGGTTGCATCCAGGTTTTGGCAATTATGAACAATGCTGTTATAAACATCCATGTGCAGGTTTTTGTGGGGTCATAAATATTCAGCTCCTTTAGGTAAATACCAAGGAACATACTTGCTGGAGATAGTCGCACCAATAGCATGGCTGAGAGTATATTCAGTTTTATGAGAAAGCTCCAGACTGTCTTCCTAAGTGGCTATGTCATTTTGTGTTCCTACCAGCAATGAATGAGGGTTCCTGTTGCTCCACGTCTCACCAGCATTTGGCAGTGTTGGTGCTCTGGATTTTGGCCATTCTAATAGGTGTGAAGTTGTATCTCCTGTTGCTTTAATTCGCATGTCTCAGATGGTATAGGATGTGGAGCATCTTCTCATGTGCTTACTCGCCAGCTGTAGGACTCCTTCAGTGAGGTGTCTGTTAAGGTTTTAGGCCTATTTTTGGGGTGGGGGGGTCAGGTTGTTGCTTTGTTTTTAAGTAGGCTCCATGCCCAGCGTGGAGCCCAATGTAGGGCTTGAACTCAAGACCTTGAGATCAAGATGTAAGCTGAGATCAAGAATCGGATGCTTAGGGCACCTGGGCGGCTCAGTCGGTTAAGCGACTGCCTTCGGCTTAGGTCATGATCCTGGAGTCCCTGGATGAGTCCCGCATCAGGCTCCCTGCTCGGCGGGGAGTCTGCTTCTCCCTCTGACCCTCCCCCCTCTCACGTGCTCTCTCTCTCATTCTCTCTCAAATAAATAAATAAAATCTTAAAAAAAAAAAAAAAGAAGAATTGGATGCTTATGGTCCCTGGGTGGCTCAGACAGTTGAGCATCTCACTCTTGATCTCAGCTCCGGTCTTGATCTCAGGATTCTGAGTTCAAGCCCTATATTGGGCTCCATGCATGGAGCCTACTTAAAAAAAAAAAAAAAAAAAAAAAAAAAAATTAAGAGTTGGGTGCTTAACCACCTGAGCCATTTAAGTGCCCCTGATCAGGTTGTTTCCTGTTGTTGAGTTTTAAGAATTATTTATATTTTTTGGACAGCAGTCCTTTATCAGCTGTGTCTTTTGCAGTATGTTCTCAGTTTTTAATTTTAATGAAGTCCAGCTTATCAATTCTTTCATTAGTCCCATCTTTGGTGTTGTGTCTGAAGCGTCACCGCCACACCCATGGTCATCTAGGTTTTCTATTATCTCCTATGAGTTGAATAGCCCTGCATTTTATACTGAGATCTATGATGCATTTTTTTAATTTTTTTTAAAGATTTTATTTATTTATTTGACAGAAAGATACACAGTGAGAGAAGGAACACAAGCAGGGAGAGTGGGAGAGGGAGAAGCAGGCTCTCCGCCGAGCAGGGAGCCCGATGCGGGGCTAGATCCCAGGACCCTGGGATCATGACCTGAGCCGAAGGCAGCCGCTTAACCGACTGAGCCACCCAGGCGTCCCGATCTATCATGCATTTTGAGTTAATTTTTGGAGGGTGTATTGTCTGTATCTGCATTTTTTTTTAAATTTTATTTATTTATTTGAGAAGGAGAGAGGGCAAGAGTGCATGAGCAGGGCGAGGGGCAAGGGGAGTGGGAGAAGCAGGCTCCCCGCTGAGCAGGGGGCCCAACACTGGGCTCGATCCCAGGACTCTGGGATCATGTCTTGAGCTGAAGGCAAACGCTTAACCACCTGAGCCACCCAGGCACCTCTTTTGTGTGTGCATGTGGATGTCCTTACAAGTTTTTTTTTTTTTTAAGTAAGCTCTAGACCAACGTGGGGTTTGAACTTGCAACCCTGAGATCAAGAATTGCACGTTCCACTGACTGAGCCCACCAGGCACCCACAAGTTTTTTTTTTTTTAAGATTTTATTTATTTATTTGAGAGAGAGAGGGAGAGAGCACAGAGGGAGAGCGACAGGGAGAAGCAGACTCCCTGCTAAGCAGGAAGACCAAAGTGGGGCTTCATCCCAGGACCCTGGGACCGTGACCTGAGCCGAAGGCAGATGCTTAATAAGACTGAGCCACCCAGGAGTCCCCCCATCCACACGTTTTTTAATGAGGAATTTTTGAGGAAGACCCAAGACAGAGGTACTGAGTACTGAGTCAGCTCAGAACTCTGTTGTAGAGAAGAAAGAGCCTGGAGAATACATTTACAAGCCAGGTACCAAAGAGGCACAAAGAACAGAGTGTTAACTGGGCAGGGGGGGGTGTCCTGTTTTAAATTAATCTAAGCTTACAGAAACTGAGGTTCTAGCAAATTTGTTTACTGAGAAGGGTAGGAAAGAAAGAAACTGGTGCCACAGAAATCGAGAAAGTAGAGACAGACACTTTCAGCCCCAGAATCATTACCATGTGACCGTATTTCAGTAGCGAAATCTATGTGACAAA